GACCGGACAGTGTAAAAAAAGCAGTTGCCAACGTCCGGGTTGTCGTTATCCTGTTGAAAGCGGCATGCAGTGCGACGAGTGCAAAGGCTGGTACCACGAAGTTTGCACGAACTTAACGCCTGCTGCTTTCAAACGGTTCAGTAAGAAGGGTTGTGTGTGGCTTTGTCAACAGTGCTGCTCGGATGCAAACAGCTTGTTAACCGAGGCTATCTCACTGGTTGATGCTGCCAAGAAGTGTTTCAACAAGCATGGTCGGAACGCGTCAAACAGCACTCGATCTGTTGACACGCAAATCAATCTGAAGGAAACTAAGGTGAGTCCGGTGATAGATGACTCACGCCCGTCGAAGAAGGAAAAGCAGTATCCAAAGGGGTCTGCCTTAAAAAAAAGCTCAAGAAAAGCAGGGTCTTCTGTTCCCCGTCTCCCAGATGGGATCCAACAGGAAACACCTAGGAGCCGCAATCGCAAGGCTCGATCGGTTTCGAATGGTAAACATAACACGACCCCTCAGGTCGTCGACAACCCCCCAAAACCCAACACTAGTTTTGACGCAACTGCTACTGCTTCTACCAGCAGCGTTAACGAATGGGTAGAGGTTGTAAGGAAGAAAAGTATTGACATAAAAGGGAAACCTACCCCCGTAAAAGTGGTTGAAATATCGAAAGCTGATCATAGCGACAGATCAGCTATTTTTCATAGAATTAAGGAGAGCGATAGCTCTGAACCTAAAGCTCGTTTTGAGCATGACATTGTACTGATTAGGCAGCTGCTTAATCAACTCATGCCTCAAAATATGACTGGGGTCACCTTGCTAAAGGTGTATAGACTAGGGAGTCTAACGGACTCGAAACCAAATCATTCCAGACTGCTTAAAGTAGTATTCGGCTCTTCAAACGAACGTGACCTAATTTTACAAAATGGACACAAATTAAAGGGTTCGGGAGTCTTTATCCGAAAGGACCTACCGTTGGCAGACCATGTTAAAAGACGGGAAGCCGAGAAAGAACTACAACATAGGTTAGACGCTGGCGAAAAGGACCTGAAAATTGTAAATTTTCGGGTTGTAAGACTTCGACAGAGAATGATGCCGAAGCCACTCTGGGTGAAGCACGAAGGCACCTAAACAGGCTTCGGATCTGTTACACCAATGCACGAAGCTTACTTAATAAGCGATCGGAACTAGGTGTACAGATTGACTCTATAAAGCCAGACATAATCGCAGTAACAGAAACCTGGCTGACACAGGCTATAGATAGTATAGAACTTGATTTCGAGGGCTTTACGTTAGTAAGGGCCGACAGAACACAAAAGCGCAAAGGAGGGGGAGTAGCTCTATTCATTAGGAATGCTATCCCATTTACCATTATCGATAGTGTATCCCATGAGAGTGGGACATGCGAATTAGTTAGTCTTCGCTTAAAATGCAAGGGACAAGAGCTGCTGATTGGTTTGGTCTATCGCAGTCCAAGCTGTGAGGCAAATGAGATCCTGTTAAGCAGTCTCAATACTTGGTCCCAAAGTGGTCGATGTCTAATCCTAGGGGACTTTAATGCACCAATGGTAGACTGGGAAAATCTGCGAACTGAATCGTCAGAAAATTCCTTTGAGCAGGAACTAGTTGATGCGGTTATCACATGTGCCCTAGTGCAACATGTGAAAGAAGCGACTAGGTACGAACCGGACACTGAATCATCCTTATTAGATCTTATACTGACTCACTATGAGGATGATGTTGCGAACCTCCACCATATGCCACCCTTAGGTAAAAGTGACCACGCAGTTTTAACTTTCGACTTCCATATAACTGCCAGTCATGAGGACGCGTCAGTCCAGTCCAGACCCAACGTCTGGAAAGCAAACATACCAGACATCATGCACTCAGCATCGTTAATAGATTGGACAATAGACCCAGAGTCCTCCATTGAAACGGCCTGGGACACATTTCGAAAATCATACTTAAAAGTTACCACACCTCACATCCCTTGGACTATACCAAAGGGGCCGAAAAACTCACCACCATGGTTCAGTAGGGAGGTCCGTATCCTTCTCCGTAAGAAAAGGAAAGCGTGGGATAGATTTAGGTTACTGGGGACTGATGAGTCAAAATCTCAGTATCGAAAGGCTCGGAACACTTGTGCCTCGACCCTCCGTAAGTCTAGAAAATTGTACGAAGAAAAACTTGTTAAGGAATCCATAGAATGTCCTAAACGCTTGTATTCCTATATAAACCAAAGGACAAGGAGAAAAGGAAATATTCCTGCTCTATGGGGAGACAGTACTGCTTCATCATTAGTGGAGGACGACTTTGGTAAGGCTCAAGCGTTCTCGAACTACTTTAGCAACGTGTATACCATAGAAGCGCCCTTCTCGTCAGCGTATACAGATCCCCCCATACATACACTGGATAGCGTGACCATTAAAGAACTCGATGTCTTTGGTCTGCTAAATAAGCTTGACGTAGGTAAATCCACGGGGCCCGATGAATTACATCCTAGGCTACTGAAGGAATTATCTAACTTCGTTGCGAACCCTTTAAGTACATGCTTTAACCTATCCGTTACGCAGGGTCGCTTACCGAAAGATTGGAAAAACGCCATAGTAAGTCCTGTCTTCAAAACAGGCACGAAACACAAACCTGAGAACTACCGCCCCGTTAGCCTAACTAGTGTGGTTGTTAAAATATTAGAAAAGATTATTCGGAAGGAGCTGTTTAAGTATCTCGATAAAAACCGGATCCTCTCGGAGAAGCAGCATGGCTTCAGAATAGGTTATTCTTGTCTCACTAACTTATTAGTGGCTCGTGAAAGCTGGTGTGCTCTTAAGGACCAAAAGCTACCTGTAGACATCTCCTTCATTGATTTCAGTAAAGCTTTTGATAAAGTTCCGCACAACCGGCTGTTATATAAGTTAAGACATGTCGGGATTGGAGGTAATTTATTGATGTGGATAAAAGACTTCTTAGTTGGGCGTCAACAAAGAGTAAGGGTGAACTCAAAGTTATCTAGCTGGGAAACTGTGCTTAGTGGAGTGCCCCAGGGTACAGTTTTGGGGCCAGTGCTATTCCTCTTGTATGTAAATGATCTTCCTTGTCTCCTATCATCATCGGTCTTGCTATATGCTGACGATGTCAAGATATGGAGAACGATACGATGTAAGAGTGATAGCTTAGAACTTCAAAATGACCTGAAGAAGTTATCTGAATGGTCTCAAACATGGCAGTTGCCGATAAATACTTCCAAGTGTGTTGTGATGCATATCGGTCATCAAGGCACAGATACATACACGATGAATAACACTGAGCTACCTGTCGTCCAGACATATAATGACTTAGGAGTTACCGTTAGTCAAGACTTAAAGACTACTGCACACTGCCGTGCAATAGCCGCCAAAAGTTTTAGAACGTTATGGTCAATACGTAGGGCTTTTAGTCATGTCGACACTAAGACGTTTTTGACTTTGTATACAGTGTTCGTTCGTCCTAAACTTGAGTACTGCATACAAGCGGCTAGCCCCTGCTTTAAAAAAGACAGAGAGCTTCTGGAAAAGGTTCAGAGAATGGCGACTAAGCTGGTTCCCGCAATAGCGAAGCTTCCGTATGAATCTCGACTGGCCAAGCTGAACCTTTTCCCGTTGTCATATCGCAGAACTAGAGGCGACTTGATTACAGTCTACAAATTGCTTAGTGATAAATTTGCACCTAACATGCCCTCATTTTTCTTGTCTTCCAAAACAGAGAATTTACGAGGACACTCCAAAAAAGTTCATAAGCCGAGAACAAATTACTTGTCAGCTGACTATCGACTTTCCCATCGAATCATCAACGAGTGGAATTCACTACCTCAGCACGTGGTTGAGGCTCCATCCGTCGACTCTTTCAAAAGAAGGTTGGATCAACTGAGAGACCACCATTGCCAGGACTAACATAGGCCATCGAGCCTCCTGTCCTTCCCAAACTGAAACTGAAATTCGTCTACTATTGTTAGTAGACGAATTGAAGTCAATTGTCGCAGTTGTTTTCAAGTCATGACTTGCTATTACCCCTAAGTCTTAATGTTCCTGTACGCATGGAAGAGATGTAACGTCGGTAGTATACTGGTAACTTTTACTGTGTCCGATGTTCAAGAGCCCACTCTAGACTTGACGTTTAATCCCCAACATTGGGCCCATCTAACTGGTTCGTCTAGGTCAGCTTGAAGATCACTATTTATTTTCTCCAGACTTCGATATCATCCGCAAACAATAATGTCGACGACTTAAGCAATACGGTAATTCATTGACGTAGAGGAGGAAAAGTAGGGGACCTACGATCGAATTTTGGGGTACACCACATTTGACCGGTTTCTATTCACTTAGCGTCCCATAAACCCCCACTGTCTGTCTGCGGCCACATAGGAAGTATCCTATCCATTCCTGTGCAGCATTTGTTATTCTGAAGCTCGAAAACTTCTACATAAAACCTAGGTGTAAAACCTTGTTAAAGTCTATGAATATCACATCGACAGGCAAACCGTCATCTAGGGCTGCTGTACAATCCTCTCTCGCAATAAGTAAGTTGGTCAATCATGAACGCTTGTTTGGAAACTCGTGTGGCTAGGAAGTTAAAAGACGTATGATTCTGTGACTTAGTAACTTAACGACTATGCCGGTTAGACTGACAGGTCGGTAGTTAGATACGATGTCTCTGACCATCTCTAAATATAGAACTGACTATAGCATCTTTCCAATCTCTAGGGAGTTGAATTGCCTAAAGTTCTTTGTGCACATCACTATCATATGTAAAGATTTCCAAACATTTCTGAAAAAAACTCACTAAACATGTTTTAAACTCCCTTTCTTAGTATGCATTAGTGTCTACACTTGCGTAGTAACAGGACCTGGAACTAGTTACTAATGTCAATAAGTTTCATAAAAAAATTATTTTATCAGTAATTTAACTACAATTAGGTTAAACCCACATTTTCTTTACTAGCTTACTTTCGAAGTTATTGTGCTTTTTATAGATGCTTTTGCAATATATTCTCTTGTTTTCAGTTAAAATGACTCACATTTGTTCTAAACCTATACTTATTGGACCATCAATTTTGAATGCGGATTTGTCCAAACTAGCTGTTGTTTGTGATCATCTACTTAACGCTGGCGCTGATTACCTACACCTCGATGTCATGGATGGACATTTCGTACCTAATATCACATTTGGGCATCCTGTTGTAGCGTCTTTGAAAAAACACCTTCCATCCAAGGCGTTTTTAGATCTTCACATGATGGTTTCTAATCCCGAAAAGGTAGTTTGCTGTGATGTATTGTTATAGATTTTCTACAGAATAAATTATCATTCGAAGAATCTTTAAAAAAACATTTATTTAATTTGATTTCCTTACATTGTAACCTAAAGACTAGCCGACAAACCACTAAAATCCAATTGACTTTAGATTATCAGCTCCAATATTTTGCTCGAAATCCTTTACAAAATTAATTAATTAATTTAAAAGTCGCATAACAAACGTGCTACAATCAACGGATTATATTCCAACGATCGAGATTTTTTTAATATTTTCAGTCATTCCTGCCTTCGAAAAGGTAATTGCCAATCATATCAAAAATTAGCATTTGTTCGAATTAAGTCAGATTATTATTCTTTTCAGAGATTTTGCAAGCTATGTTAGTCTAAAGAGTTAACATCAAAAAAGTGGATATTGTTTACTGACTAATAAAGTGGTGAGAAATAATTTTTCAGTGTTTCCAAGTATCCTCTTTTATTTCAGTTAACGATTTTGATTAGCCCAAAATGACCTAAGATGAACGAATTTCAGAAAATTATCAAGTTGTGGTAAATAACTGCTTCAGAGTCAATAGTTTCAAAAAAGCTTATCCTTACCAGTCTCAATTTACAAAATCTTATGCGGTTTAAGTTACTGGTATTGATTTTAAATCAATGTAATGCGGTTTTGGTATAGATCCTATCTTAGTATCTTCCTTATAAATATATTTACTGTTAATATGAGTTATAGGATGAATAATAAACATTTTACGCGTAAGAAAATACAAACTCCTCAATTATTGCTACACAAGTAGAAATTTTTATACGAAATTGTCACCATTTTGCTTTACTGAAGCACTCGGTTTTCGCCCAGTGGACCATATGTTCGGGCAACACTTCACCTACTTTCCATACTCATACTTGGTAATAGTACTACACCGTCAACCATTTAATCAACTGGGTAGTATGACTAATACTCGCATAAACAATATGGTACAGAGATAAGTGCATAAATGTGTTCATAGTAGATGAATTTAATTACCAATAGTCTGTTCGACATAAGCCACGTAAAAAACTGGCACAAATTTGTTTCAGTCCAACATAAGGATATGGTTGCTTTTCTAGACTCTTTACGACCCCTACGTGAGTTTATTCTTTGCACTCACGTATTTATCCCTATCAAATACTCATTTGTAACGTTAAGGGTTTTATGCATGTGTGTGCTTAACCCACGTGCGTATACTTTAATTGGTTCTGTAGTTTATACATTATTGCCTTATATACAGAATAAGTCATCCATTACTCATTGATTTTTATCTAGAATACCGACTTCCATGTTCGCTGCTCTATTAAAGTTCGTATGATCTTCACATGTATGTATGAAATATAAATATCGGAAAACATATTTAGTATTCTACTTTTTCTACGTTGTATTAATGTGATCGGTCGATACAAGATATACGAAGCTAAGTAGAATCGGTACTTTATTAGCATCAGCATCCTTAGAGCAACAAGGAGTCAACACAAGATTAAATTATCTTGATGAACACCAAAGTAGAAGTAGCAATATCAGTGATAGAAAAAACAACTAGGAACAGTGAATATGGTTTGAGGAGAAAGAATGAATCTATTCAAAGTATGTATAAAATCTTTTTTAAACCCATTATCTAGAGATAAGCAAAAATTTAAAGCGTCCGGGCCACCAATTTCGAGTTGTTGCAGCGCCTCTAACCACTGGACATGATTATCACCTCTTTCCAGCCAGGCAGTTTGCATCTACCAATATGGGTCAGTTGATATCACCTCTAAGAAGATTGCCACAGTCTCACATAAAACAGTTATTATCAAACTTCACCTAAATTGTTCTGATTGTAGTGTTGAGTTTTGTCATTGAGCATATCCAATTTATATTTCTAATGCATCAGTTTCATACGCGTACTTCTTCCCTACTGTACTTTAACATTTGAAAGTGGGTTGAAAATATGAAAGCTGCTGGGGCAAGCCAATACACTTTTCACTTAGAATCAACTGGAAATGCTATGCATTGTATCCACAAAATACGTGAAGCTGACATGAAAGTGAGTATCAACAAAATCCTTATTTATGTTAGCGATTTTATATTTTAATGTTAATGTTATCATTCTTATTTATGGTGTGCTATCATATACAAAAGCTCATTATAGTGGAGAAGTTTATCAAACAACTTCAATATGACTATTTTTAAATATCGAAGGGATCTAGTCTACGGTTATTAGACTAAAAACTAGTCATAAACAACAATTACTTTTATATAGTCAAGTTTCTTTTTAGATTTTATTATTCATTAACACTCTTTTCATACTTGACTAGTATTAAGTGATATATTGGAAATATTACACAGCACACTGCATAGAATATTGTTTCTTTCGTTTTCTTATCAGGTCAATTTTACATTATCTTTCATCTTGCAATATTTGCGTTTTACACTATATTTCCAGTTCATTCGAAATGACTGAATGGTCTATTAAAATAATAAGTATCGAGACATCCAAATGTGTTTAGGTTAGTAGGTTGTACTCTGTAGCACGTAATGCCATTACACATGTGTCCATCTAGCTTTTGGATATACTTGAATCAATTTGATCATCCTAACAACTCTTTTTTCATAGGGAATTGTGACCTCTAGTATATATATATCTCATATTCATGTCATTACAATACTACACTTACATATCTCATACGTAGTTGTGTGTGCTTGGACACTCATTATTTTATCCGATATCTGTCTCGTTGTAATAAGCATGATCTATTTTGAGGTATTGATGCTTACAATAAGTAATATTTTGAGTAGGTACACCTGCCTTTTCCGTTTCTCATCCTACTGTCTGTCTGAGTGATCGAGTATCTGAAAGAAATTCATCCAACTTAGTTCGTATTTGGCTTTTATTACCACCGTTACCCAAACAAAGTTAGCCTAAGTACAATCTACGAAATCAAATAACTAGTTTTTGTTCATGTTTCATTCATAGTTTCCCTCCATCATTTCTAATGAAATCAGTACGTTATCACAACTGCGGTGACATCTAAATGTAGGTCGCTGTCAGTTTCTCATAGCGGCACTGAATAACCGGAGCTCAAATCTCACTCATAGAATTTCCGTATAAATTTTGTTGTTGAGACTCAACACAGAAATATGATTCAAACATAGCTTCGGGCTAATCATCCAAACACAGCAAGAGAGATGGAAAAGGCAGCGGCAATAGGTAATAGCAGACAATTGTTCAGACTCGTTAAGGAAACCGGAATTAGGAACCCGACCGTTAGCGAAACAATCTCAGAGAAAGATGGACATATTATTCATTCTCAATCCAGGAGATTGGATCGATGGGCAGAACACTTTAGGGATCAGTTCAACTGGCCTTCAGCCACACTCCGGTTTCCCGCGATCTCCAGTCAACCTGCATGGCAAGTTAATGTAGGTCCTCCGTCCCTTTACGAAGTTGAAAAAGCCATAATAAATCTGAAACGAGGGAGAGCAGCAGGCCCTGACAGGTTTACTCCTGAGATTTTTAAGGATGGTGGTCCAGTATTAGCAATGAGATTAACCGAGGTCTTAGGTAGAATTTGGGAACTGGACGTAATCCCATCTGACTGGTCTCAATCACTGATTGTGCCAGTCTATAAGAAAGGACAAAAGTCCTCTTGTGACAATCACAGAGGAATCAGTTTGACTAATATAGTGTCTAAAATATTAGCTTCAATAATACTTCGACGCCTAACTAAAGCTCGTGAAGAGCAGACTAGAGAAAACCAGGCTGGTTTTCGACCTGGACGTGGTTGTATAGATCAGATATTCACACTACGTCAGGTTCTAGAACACAGACACACATTCAGACGCCCCACAATGGTAGTATTTCTCGATCTTAAGGCAGCATTCGACTCTATTGATCGTGAGGTTCTATGGCAGTGTTTGTCACTGAAAGGAGTACCAAAGAAGTACATTAACCTTATACAGGCTCTCTACTCGAACACAACTGGTAGAGTGAGAGCTTATGGCGAACTGTCATCAGAATTGATTACGTCAAGTGGTGTTCATCAGGGCTGTCCACTCTCCCCATTCTTGTTCAACTTTGTAGTCGACGTACTTTTAGAGATAACACTCTCCTCATCTAAATTTCCAGGGGTTGAACTTCTACCAGGAGGTTCACTTGTTGACTTAGAATATGCAGATGACATAGTTTTATTTGGTGAAGACGCTGACAAAATGCAGAGTCTTCTGACCACTCTAAGCAACAATGCAAGCATGTTCGGGATGCGATTCTCTCCCTCGAAATACAAAATGTTGCTTCAGGATTGGGTTACATCGACACCCGAACTAGTGATAGGGAGTGAAGTAGTTGAGTGTGTCGACCGCTTCACTTATCTTGGAAGTCTCATCAGCCCTTGTGGTCTGGTGTGTGACGAAATCTCACCACGGATACAGAAGGCTCGACTAGCTTTGCCGACTTGCGTCATTTATGGCGTAGGCGAGATATCCGTCTATCAACCAAAGGACGTGTTTACTGCGCAGCAGTTCGTTCCGTCCTACTTTATGGCAGTGAAACATGGCCGGTAAGAGTAGAGGATATCCGTAGGTTACTAGTATTCGATCATAGGTGTCTTCGAAATATTGCTCGTATATCCTGGGACTATCGAGTAAGTAATGCAGTTGTTAGGAAACGGGTACTAGGTAAGGATGGCAAATCAATTGATGACGTAGTGAAACTTCATCAGTTGAGATGGCTGGGACACGTGTTACGTATGCCCAACGACCGACTGCCTCGACGTGCTATGTTCAGTGGTATAGGAGTAGGTTGGAAGAAAGCTAGGGGTGGCCAAACCAAAACATGGCACAAGTCCATGAAGTCACTGACAAGTGAACTGAGTCATGTTGGTAGGTGTAGACTACCTGGTTGGAGACCGCGAGATGATAGCAATCGATGGTTAGAGACCCTGAATGACATGGCTCAAAATCGTTTGCAATGGCGCAGGTTCATCCACTCTCTGTGTTCTCCCAAATTCTAATCTTCTGAATTCTTCATGTCCCTTTTTTCCTCTTTCCAAATTTATTTCACTGGATTATACTCTTTAAATAACATATCCAAACCCTAATCTTCCCGATTACTGCTTATACTCTTATTACCTCTACCACTACGGGATTTGAATCGACAAGTGCATCTCTGTGCTAATGTGGTGTGGCAACTCGAACTGATGTACGTACGTACGTACGAAGTTCTACGTTGTTACTGACTGACTGACTGATACATTTAGTACAATTACGTACAGTATACAGGATTTTTTTTAGCTTGTCGTCATTTCATTGCTTTTTGTTTTATAACACGAGATTTTTATTATCTTCCAGGTTGGTCTTGGTATAAAACCAAAAACACCAGTCACTGAAGTATTACCTTATGTTGACTCCGTTGATATGATTTTAATTATGACTGTCGAGCCCGGTTTTGGTGGGCAAAAATTTATGGCAGATATGTTACCAAAGGTAAACCATTTTTCTTATCATTTGCTTAAGTCATAATACTATTAATATTAGAGTTGGTTGTAAAAACTGAAATCGTGTAACAAAACAAATACAATTATCATTATTTGCCACAATGCTAAAAATATGATCTAAATTCTCATTTTCGATTATTTTATAGGTCATTCTGTATACCTTGTGTTATATTTATCAGTGTAAACCCCATGACAGTCTTCATACCTTCGTTTAGTGTGTATATCTAGAATATGTGTTTACTCTTGTAATAATATCTAGTTCTATGTTTCGATTTTCATCAGTCAAAACTCAAGATTAAGCAGTGTTTGTAAATTAAAAGCTCATATATATCTAATACCCCCTTGTACCAATATGTATGCACAAATAAATAAAATGCAACCCGAACAAGAAAGCAGCGGCCTGCTTGAATATCTGGGTTACCTGCTTTTGCCATCTAATTATTTCAACAGGTTATCTGTTCTTTCATTTTGTTTTAACGTCTCATTATGTCCATTAATCGCATAACCTATTCAGGCGCTTTTATAAAAAGCCTACGACCTCTCGCTCCACAAGTTACAAAAATTACTATAAAAGACTTCGTGGTGGTTGGCAATATGCGTTAAAGAGAATGAAAATTAATCATATGTCGATTCCCGAGCTGCTAAATTCTAACTGCCGATCACTAATCAACAAAGTGGACTATCTACAATTCCTACTAAGTCAAAATATGTATCGTAATTGTGGTGTCATAAAAATCAAGAATCTTGGTTAAATGATTTACAGGATGACTGCCTAGTGTCACTACGTGATTTAAAAATTTATCGTCAGGATCGATCAAACAATAAAAAGAGGTGTGGTGGCGGTGTAGCTACGTTTGTAAACATAAACTGGTGTCGATCTTCGTTTGTGTGTTTTAAGTTTTCAAATGACTTTATCGACTGTCTAACTCTAAGATGTCGTCCAAAACATCTGAATAAATACAAATATGTTTATGTGACCAATATCTACGTGACTCCAGATTGCACATCATCTGCACTATCTGTTTTTGCTGATGAATTCACTGAGTTCGCTGTTACTGCCTTCAGTGATTCACTTTCAGTTGTATGTGGTGATTTCATTTCATGTGATTGTAGCTTCCTTACGTCACTAGGCCACCAAAAACTAGTAGATTTTCCTACTCGTTTGGATGCTCATTTAGACTTCGTTTTCATTAATGATGTGGGTATATATGCGACTCGTAAACGTGCTCCATTGTCTAGCTCGGATCACTGTATAATTCGTGTTCTACCTAAAGTATATGGAAAGCATGGGAAGAGTACACTCTTACATTGTTGGGATATTCAGGAAAATATCCCAAAAATTATCCTGTTAAGCCTAGTGCTAACCTTGGACATGAAATGGTATAATCTTATTGGTCAATATTTATTTAACGTGTCATTTTCCTACTGCACATTATTGTACAATGTTATTTTCTATTTTATGGTATGTTGTGGTCTGCTTGACTGGTATATAAACAAAGTATGTTTGAAATATAATGATTCATATATCCGAGGCTGTGACTTGTGTTCTGGACTCAACTGGCTGGGTTAGACAGGGAGGCGGGACCAATCAGAACCCTAGGTCGTTCTACGTGTTTGTGCGTCTTTGGTCCGATCAATAATTCGCTACCCCTCTAATCCGCAGCATTTTTCACAGTCATAACATGCATCAAACCAGGAAAGTCAAATATAGGAATTACTTACTTACTTACTTACTTACTTACGCCTGTTACTCCCAAAGGAGCATAGGCCGCTGACCAGCATTCTCCAACCCACTCTGTCCTGGGCCTTCTTCTCTAGTTCCATCCAATTCTTGTTCATTTTTCTCATGTCTATATACATTTCTCGGCGTAATGTGTTCTTTGGTCTTCCTCTTTTCCTTTGACCTTCAGGATTCCATGTGAGGGCTTGTCTTGTGACGCAGTTGGGTGCTTTCCTCAATGTGTGTCCTATCCACTTCCAGCGCTTCTTCCTGATTTCTTCCTCCACTGGGATCTGGTTTGTTCTCTTCTACAGTACGTTGTTGCTAATAGTGTCCGGCCAATGGATCTGAAGTATTTTGCGTAGACAATTGTTAATAAACACCTGTATTTTCTGGATGATGGCTTTTGTAGTTCTCCAGGTTTCTGCCCCATACAGTAGAACTGTCTTGACATTTGTATTGAAAATCCTGACCTTGGTGTTGGTTGACAGTTGCTTTGAGTTCCAGATGTTCCTCAGTTGTAAATATGCTGCTCTTGCTTTGCCGATCCGCGCCCTCACATCTGCATCAGATCCACCCTGTTCATCAATGATGCTGCCCAAATACGTAAAGGTTTTTACATCTTCCAAATCTTCTCCGTCAAGTGTGATTGGATTGGTGCATTCTGTGTTGTATCGGAGAATCCTGCTTTTCCCTTTGTGTATATTGAGACCTATTGCTGCTGAGGCTGCTGCCACACTGTTCGTCTTCTCCTGCATCTGTTGTTGCGTTTGGGATAGAAGGGCCAGATCGTCTGCGAAGTCTAGATCATCCAACTGCATCTTAGATGTCCATTGTATCCCGCGCTTTCCTTCAGACGTTGACGTCTTCATGATCCAGTCGATCACCAGGAGAAAGAGAAAGGGTGAGAGTAAGCAACCTTGCCTAACACCGGTCTTCACTTTGAACGACTTTGTCAACTGTCCTCCATGCACGATTTTGCAGTGTAATCCATCATATGAGTTCTGTATGATATTGACTATCTTCTGAGGCACGCCGTAGTGTCGAAGAAGTTTCCATAGTGTTGTTCTGTTCACGCTATCAAATGCCTTTTCGTAGTCAATGAAGTTGATGTAGAGTGATGAATTCCATTCAATTGATTGTTCCACAATGATCCGTAGAGTTGCGATTTGGTCTGTACACGATCTATCCTTACGGAATCCAGTCTGTTGGTCACGAAGTTGGGCGTCTACGCAGTCCTTCATCCTGTTTAACAATACTCTGTTGAAGACTTTGCCCGGTATTGAGAGAAGAGTGATGCCCCTGTAGTTATCACACTTGCTGAGATCTCCTTTCTTCGGTATTTTGATCAGAAGTCCTTCTTTCCAGTCTGTTGGTACTTGTTCTCCATCCCAAATCTTATTGAAGAGAATGTGGAGTATCCTTGCAGCTGCCGCTACGTCTGCTTTTAGTGCCTCCGCTGGGATGTTGTCCGGTCCTGCTGCTTTGCCACTCTTGATTTGTCTGATGGCCATGCTGATTTCTTCAATTGTTGGTGGGCCAACATTGATTGGGAGGTCCGTGGGTGCTGCTTCGATGTTGGGTGGGTTCAGTGGAGCTGGTCGATTCAACAGTTCTTTGAAGTGTTCTACCCACCTGTTTTGTTGCTCTTCAATGTTGGTGATTACCTCGCCTTCCTTGCTTTTCACGGGTCTTTCTGGTTTGCGGCGATTTCCAGAGAGTTTCTTTGTCGTGTCATACAGTTCTCTCATGTTTCCTTCTCTTGCAGCCTTTTCCGCCGTCGTTGCTAAATCTTCCACATAGTTACGTTTGTCGGTTCTGATACTCCTCTTCACTTGTTTGTTTATTTCCGTGTATTCAGCTTGTGCCTTGGCTTTTTCTGCTCTTGTTCGACTGGTATTGATTGCTGCCTTCTTGTTCCTTCTTTCTTGAATCTTATCCAGTGTACCAACAGTGATCCATTCTTTGTGATGGTGCTTCTTGTGACCCAGGACCTCATGACATGTTGAAGTGATTGCCTCTTTGATCCCCTTCCAGTTGCTCCCCACAGTAGTTCCTTTTCCATTGAGTAGATCATGAAAGGCCTGGAACTTGTTGCTGAGGACTATCTTGAATTCGTTGAGTTTATTAGTATCCTGGAGAAAGGCCGTATTGAACTTTTGTGATACTGTCTGCCCCGTTGTCCAGTGTTTCTTGAGTTTCAATTTCATCTTGGCGACCAGTAAGTGATGATCTGATGCTATATCAGCTCCTCTCTTGGTTCTCACGTCCTCTATAGTCCTCCTGAACGTTTTGTTGATGCAAATATGGTCGATTTGGTTTTGTGTAGAGTGATCCGGTGAAGTCCATGTGGTTTTGTGTATGCGTTTATGTGGGAATATGGTGCCGCCTATGACCAGCTTATTGAAGGCACATAGATTTGCAAATCTCTCACCATTTTCGTTTCGTTCTCCCAGTCCGTGTCGTCCCATGATGTCTTCATATCCAGTGTTGTCCGTTCCAACCTTGGCGTTGAAATCTCCCATCAGAATGGTCAGGTCCTTTGTTGGGCACTTCTCGACTATTGACTGCAGCCTATTGTAGAATTGATCTTTAGCGTCTTTATTGTCGTCGTTGGTAGGCGCATAGCATTGGATGATGTTCATTGAAATGCCCTCTTTCTTTGTTTTAAACAAGGCTTTGATGATCCTTGGTCCATGAGATTCCCATCCTATAAGTGCATTTCGTGCTTGTTTGGACAGCATCAATGCAACTCCTTGTGTATGTGGTGCATTTTCTTCTTCATGGCCGGAGTATAACAGGAGCTCTCCTGTAGTTAGTCGTTGTTGTCCAACTTGTGTCCAATGTGTTTCACTGATCCCAAGTACCTCTAGGTTGTATCTTCTAATTACTGCAGCAATCTGGAAGGCTCTTCCGGTGTCCCACATTGTACGAACATTCCATGTACCTAAATAAATGATCGCTCTGGTTGTCAGAAGGGGCATCGGCCTCGTAACTTCCGAAGGGATTCGGCTTTCATCATGAGGCGTCATAATTCTTCTAAATGAAGATCTTCTGACTCCCAGGACAGAGTTTAAAAGGTTTGAATAATTTTTTCTGGTTAGCGTTTTTTTAGCGAGTTAGTTTTCTACGGGATGGGGACGCTAACCCCATGCCCAACCCTCCTCCTTTATCCGGGCTTGTGACCGGCAGTAGCCCCCGGAGGGACTCCAGGCGGAGTTAAAATATAGGAATTACTCAGAAGAAAATATCCGAAATCTGAAAAACATGTTTCATACGACTAACTGGGAATTATTTACAGATGACTCACTGGAAAACACTACTGATGTTGTCACTTGTTACCTTAAATTCTGTTCTGATATTTGTTGTCCTACTGAAACCATTTTTATAAGTTTTGATCGACTTACATCTACACAACTAAAACGACTACGAAGGATGAAAGAAAGAATGTACAAGGAGAAGAACTCTAATGAAGTTCGTAAGCTAAATGGTCTGATAAACCTAGAGATTAGACGTCTCAACTTTATGTTTACTTAAAAACTCTTATCTTGCAAAAACTCCCCAAGTATGTGGAAACTTTAAAGAACTTACAGGTGACAGACAATTTAGAAGCGATAACCAGCTGAATGTTTGTGACTTAAATAAGTCTTTACGTCAGTCATCTGATGTGATGCTTCCTTCATCCATAGGTTTAAATAATAGCTGTGTTCCTAGTTTCACTGAAACTGATGTTCAAAGATGTCTCCAGTCACTTAATTCATCCAGATATTTAGGACCTGATGGTATCCCAAACCTCTTTTTAAAAAAATGTGCTGACGTTCTATGTTGTCTATTCACGACTATCTTTAACAGTTCCTTCTCATCTAATCTCATTCTGAAAATGTGGAGAAAGATAGAGATAATCTCTGTACCCAAGAAAGTATCTGGTGATAAGAATGTGAAATTTAAACCTATTGCAATAACTTCACCCTTCCTCAAAACAATGGAAAAATTATTAATACTTCCACTTC